CGGCCTCCCTCTGGACCTCCACTCTGCAGGGCGACCTGCAGCGAAGATCACCTCGGACAAGGGGATGGTTGACATCCCAGCGCACACCACAGCTGCACCGTTGGAGACGAGAAGTGGTCAGCGTTGTGACAGCAGATGTGCGTGTATGCTCCTTGCTACCCGCAAGGAACACATGTCCGCGTTGTCCGCTGCGATGACAACGATCTGCAGTTCTTGAGCCAGCGCCAGAAGTATTTCTGTAACCATCGCGTCCACCCCCTCGCAGTCCATGCGTGGGAAAGCCGCCTTTGCAAGGGCCAGGAGAGCCATGCGGTACGCAAGCGGCGACTCTTTCTGGCCCCTGCGCCGCTCGTGGAACAGTTGGCGACAGTCCGATGGCGGCACGTAGACAGTGGTGAGGACTCGGAGCGCTGACTGCAGTGTAGCACGTGCCGACTTGTGGGCCGTGATGAGGGTGGCGAGAGCATCATCATCCAACGTGGCCGGTAAGGCACGCAGTGCCTCGTTGTCCGTCCACCCGGATATCTCTTGATGAGCGAAGAAGCGATGCTCAAAGGCCCCCCAGTCGCCCCCTTCGGACACAAATTCTGTCAACACAGGCAAGCGCTGTTGGAACGATAGCTCCGTTTCCAACAGCCGCTGCCCATCATTCCCACCGTTTTCGTCATCACTGGAGGGGATGACGGTCCCCATCGGCAGTTGTACAGTTGATGACACGGCGTCCCGTGATTGGAGTCGGCAGCGCTCATCCATCGTTGATGACGTTGCGCCTGCCGATTGGTCCTGGCGGCGACCGTCCATTGGTGATGACGTTATGGCCGGTGATTGGCCCCCGCTGTCCACGTGGTGCTGCGGCCCTCCAATCTCCGTAGTAGACACTGCCATGGCAGCAAATCCAAATTCTGACGGCTGTGTGCTGGCGGGAACAGACGTTGACCGGCGTTCTTCACCATGCCGCATCGGCACCCCCAGCCACGCGCGGTTAATTTCTTCCAGCGTGGATGCCGCGGCATACAGCAGCTCGGCAAGACGGGAGTGAGCTGCCCGTAACCCGTCTCCTAACGACGGCTACTCCTCCAGCTGCAGCGGCTGTTGGGATGCCTGTGGCATTTCGGGATCGTTGGCTAAGTTCGCTGGCACTGTCCCAGCTGCCCCAGCAGAGTCGTCTTCCTCCCCAGGTTCTTGCGAGCGGTTTGTCCGTCTTGTGTCCATTATAAAGACAACTCCTGACACTAGTTGTAGTGGGTTCATGGGACACGGAGACGGTGGAGTAGAGGCAGCACTGTTTATTTGATCTTAGCGAGGGTTGCACTGGAAGGGGTAACGGCCCCTTCACCCGTATACACGTTGGGACACCCCCTAGGCTATCTAGCCTAATCCCTGTGTCTCCAGTTCCTCCGCTACAGGCTCTAGAGGAAGTTATCTGATCTGGCCCTGGTCAAGCACAGATCATGGCACCCCACCAACCAGACCGACCCTTAAAAGGGCTCTGGCTCTGAGGCTCTGGGGCCGCACCACTAGCTTACCCAGCCGGCCCTCAAAAGGACAGCGGTCAGGGAAGTCTATCTATCCGGACTTCCTTCTTCACTGCTTCTTCATTCTTGGCCCCAACACACTACTCCGAGCTCTCTGGCTCCCTGCCCTTTATACCCATATACCACTGAGGGGCGGGGCTATAGCAGACGTGGTTGTAGCCACCATGATGTGACTGTGTGTTACCTTCCCGTAACACCCCTACACATTGAATAACACTGACCATATGGGCATTTAAATACAGTCGTGCATTATTGTTGAGTTTCGACTTATTAACCATTTGTCGGGGAGGCTGACTCCCATCTCCCCGCTCATCTGGGATCCACTGCTCCCCTCTTCCATGTCCTGGGGAGGGTTGCTGCTCACTGACTCCCCCCCCCCCCCTTCGCTGCGGCCCCTCGGGGCATGATTTAAAGGGCTGGCGTGTAGCCACCAAAATTCAACGCGGCTACCTGCCCGACGCCACGCACCAATCGCACGCGCGGGACCCAGGGTCGGGGGTCGGAGGGCAGGGGCGTCACTCTTACGCGCGCAGCCGATTGGAGGAAGTGCCCCGGAGCAGGTTTAAAGGGCTGTGTGAACAACCTCGCGGGTACGCCGCCAATGCACCTCTCGCACACGCTAACCACGAGCTACACAGTTAATCTCGCGTGCATGCCGCCCGTCTATCTCGCGCACACGTTAAGCAGAGGTGGCACGGATGATCTCGCGTGCACGATGCCCGTCGACCTCGCGTACACGTTAACTACGAACTACACGCAGCGGCGAGCGCACACACGCGGGTAAAATACACGCTCGTGCGCGAACACAGGATACCACAATGGAAAGGCTCACAGCACCATGCACCCCTCTCCGCACTCGCAGGGACGACACGACAAGGTTTATTGACTACTGGCGATTTATTCTCCGCGAATAATGAAGCTAAACTACCCGTGTCAGTGTGGGCCAGCAGGCCAGGTCTAACCTATTTCCCGGCGGTCTGGGACTCAATCTGTCCCGTCTCTCCCTAATCGCTCTTCCTAAGGGATATTCCCCTTTACCTCACCTCCCTCTTACGTACTCACGGTTCGCCTCCGAGGTGCATGAAGTCGCGGAAAGGCGAGGCTGTACATAGTCCTTGCTAGGAACGGGGCCTGGCTGCGGTGCGACTCGTCTCACGGACGATCCAGTAGCAGGCACGATGACCCCTCCGCTCCTTGACTCTAGAAGAAACCCGAATCCCTACCACTACCTCCTCTACCCTTTTTATCGTACTTACCACAAAGATAACGTGCTGCTAATCCGCTGGCCTATCGTCCAATCAGGAGCCTCGGATTTCCCGCTCTTCGCTAATCCGATCGGTGCTCTCTCCAACGTCCGCTTTTTACTCTTTGAACAAGCACACACGTCGTGCAAGGGGAGGGCCTCCTGCCTTCCCATCGCTCGCTACTCTGCCTCACCCCCTACCAGCCTGGTGACCCGTGTGTGTTTTTGCTGTTTCCTATCCGCGGTGGCTCGGCAGCCCCGTCGTGACCATGTGATTACAACCCAAGTCACTTCGCCGCGGTGCATGTTAGCCTCGGGGGAGGTCGCCCAATTCCCTGGTCGCAGGAAACCGTCAAGATTGGTCCCATGAGGGGGCTTCTGGGTGAAAACCTGTCGGCCAGGTGACCTCCCCTCGGGGCTCTATGTGGGGGTGTGTGTGTTGATGTGGGGGGTGGTGAGGGAAGAGCAGCGTCGGCCCCGTCGCTCAGAGGTGGCGGTTTCGCGGCCACGGAGTCGTCAGGATGGCCTCGCTGCTGCGGTCATCACAGTGGCAGGCACGGCTCAGATGGAGCGGCTTCGCTTCTGTGGCACCACACATTCGACTTACGAACGGGCCTCGGTAACAAATTAGGTTCGTATATCAATGACTGTCCGTGGTGTCAAACGCTGAGGATACATCCATGAGAACCAATTAAGAAAGAGATCCAGAATCTGTAGATAAGAGAATGGTTTTGACACCAACAAGTAATGCTGTTTCAGTTGAGTATTTTGTAAATGTTCTCATTTCTGAGTTTAACAATACTTCAAAGTAGGACCACACTTCACGGCATGGTTCTAAATCCTTCCAAGCTACCCCAAAAGCCAACATATGCCCCATCATCAGCCGCATCAGCATTCGAAATCCTACCTCGTGAAATTGGCAAAACCATATCCAGGGTGGAATCCTGGTCAAAGCTGTCTGCGACCACTGTAAGGAAGCTGTAGAGAGAGCGGTGAGCCGAATTCCCCGCGACACCGGAATTCTATCAGTTTTCTTGGCCTCTTCACTGCAGCTGCCAAGAGGAGCATCCCTCGGAGGCTTCCGGAAATAATTCACTCCCTGCTGGAAAAAAGAGACCCAGGGACCTGCTCCGACAGTGTAACTAGTCGGGCAGCCCACAGGTTGGAAAGGCCCTGCCGGAGTCTTTAGACTCGGCCAGACGCTAGCGGTGGGTTGAGTGCGTTGCAGGCCCAGGACTTCACACACTCAAGCCGCTGTCCCTGGGCCCTATACCACGACGTCTGGGTGCTGCTAACCCCAACAGGATACTAGGCCGCAAGAGTCCTGCCCAACTTCATAGCGTCCACTGCACAAACCACAGCTGCAGATGCGGATAGCTGATGCACAAGTGGAACTACATTTTGATTTAAAGCTTTCGTGACAGCAGGAATTCATATTCTTGGTTCTTTTGGTAAAGTCACACAGGTAGAAAACAAAAAATAAAAATAATAAAATAAAAATATACGTAAAAATGTAAAATAATAAGAGCAAAAAAACACGAAAAAATATTAAAATACAATTATTATTTTAAAATAAATTGAAAATAATAGACGCAAAAAACCCACGACGTTTCGATCGCAACACAAGCGCTTGTGTTATTATAATTAAAGACTACACAAGTGAAACATTAAAAACTCTGCAGTAGTGGTGCGACTGCGGTCATCCAGAGCAGAGACCCGCGGCGTATAACGACAATGCCCCGAGCCACAAATACGAAGGAGATACATCGTCACAAAGATGATACACCACTCCGCCGCTGCTCCTGACATGTTGTTGTCTCTGCATCTACATCAGCCGTACCAAAAACAGGTTGAACCTGATCATAAAAGTTATGTTTATGAAGATGATTAATTAGATGATGGTATATGCCTCAGCAGTTTTCCTGCTGTGTTTGTCTCACCTGATTTCCTGTGTTGCGATCGAAACGTCTGAATCTATTAATTTTCCATCTACGTGACTTTACCGAAAGAACAAACGAGTATAGGTATATGCCATGTTCAATGGCCTTTGATGTAATATATAAAATATGGCGGTAATTTGCAGGCCTATCAGGATTAAGTGATATATATGTTTGAGACCTGGGGTGACAGCAGCTACATTGAGCGCCGATGCATATACCAGGGTGCAAAGAAATTGATGAATCATTTTAGCAGAGCGATGCCCTCTGCTGTGTGTGGACCAGAAATCACCTGAGGAAGAAAAAGACGAAGAAGTATAAGAAAGGCATCTCCAAGGTAGCTCTCTGGTATCCCTAAACGTGAGTTCCATTTGCGACACCGACTGCGCGAACGCCTATGGACACAGATTCGCCAAGCACGCGAGTGGCGAAGTCTGCACGTGCCAGCCCCTCTCGATCGGTGATAAATCATGGGTTGCAGGCCATGGCTCGCTTTCTCTCCTCCCTCCCTCCTCTCAAGGCGAGTCTTGGCTCCACGTGCTCGCACTTGATTGAAGTCGATCTATCGAAGCCGTCTGTACGTACGAAATCGCGTGCCCTGCGGATACCGATTGCACAGCCGCCACTTTGTCCACCGCCGCCCCCCCCACCCTCACCCCACGCACCCCCCCCCACCCCCCGGCTCCCTCCACCCCCCCGGGTGTTCCCTCAACCGGTCTGCCCGCCTCGTCCTTCTCCGCCGCCGCGTGCGCTTTTCGCGGTTGCGTTGCCGCCGCCGCTGCTGTTACTGAGTTGCTCTCCCGCGTGTGTGTTATATCGGAGTCGTGACTGGCGTCGTTACGGCAGGATGTCTGACGTTTTGCGCCACGTACCGGGAGCTTCATTTTGTGAAGCTGCTCTGGGTTTTATGGGGTTGTTCCTTTTCCATGATGTAGTTGCGTTCCTGAAAAAAACTGAGTTATGGAAAAATCGCATCATAATATACAGAGTGCTTCAAAAAAATGCGAACACTTTCGGGAATTTGCAACAAGACCACAAGAAATATACCTCCGGGCTCTGGAGACTACCTGGAGAAGATTCCAAGCACGCGTTGACAATGGTGGTGAACAATTGGAGACTCTTTGACTTTTTTAAAGCTATTAACATACGGTTGTTAACATGTTAAAGTGTTTATCATCCATTTACTTTCCCATTAAAAACGATAGTCCCATATCAGTGTTAACAATTTTTGAAGCACCCTGTATATTGTTGCGAGCGAGAACAAGGCTTGCGCAGTGCACACCGCAGGACCAGCCTGCGTGTGCCCTACCGGCTGCGTGTGCCCTCTTGCCTGCGTGTGCCCTAATGGCTGTATGTGCCCTACCGGCTTCGTGTGCCCTATCGGCTGGTGGGTTTAGAACACTGTGGGAACGTTCATTGTTGGCAAACGCATTTTTCATTTTGACAGCGATGAAAGGACCGGTTAATCGAGTCTGCGGAATACAAAATAATAATAATGATGATTAAAAATAATGAATTTAATTAACCTCAAAAGCGACGGCAATAAAAGAAAATATATGGACACATTTTTTTACTATAAATTAAAACAATTCAGAGTCCTAATTGCCGACGTCTCATAACACCGGACTGCGGAGTGAAGGGGGTCACGGTGTTCTGTAAGTCAAGTCTTGGCATGCCCTGCAGTGCAACGCAGCGTGAACTTAAAATATACACGCAATTATATATATGCGCATATAATTAAAATATATATACGCCAGTCATCCTCGCAGCAGCAGCCGATTTTGGCTGGCCATCGAACAAAGAGGGTCACCGCATCGTGCGCCGCTTTCAGGTGCGCTCGTGCGGCCGTCTGCAATGCTCCTTCCTTACCAATAGTAGGAAGCCATTAGGAACATGTGCTTCAATGGGCAGTGGGGGACAGGGCCAGGTTATACTGCTCTCAGGAGCCATTGGGTGTGTCCCTCAAATTACATCGACCATGGCAGGGTCCTGTCGAGGTGGTGGAGGTCAGGAGGCCTCAGTGTGTGAGAATTCAGGCGGGACCCTGCCGCTGTTTTTTTCATCCGTCACGCCTGAAACCATATGTTCAGCCCCCTGTAGACAGTTCACCCCCAAATCCAGTGTGGCCGATCTCTGGTGTGTCCGACGAGCTGGGGCAGTCGGCCGAAGAAGTTGTGCCTCGGGAAATGCGTTGTGTCGCCCACAGTTCCCAAGTCCCTGATGCCGGGGGAACCGCAAGAAGCCGCCGCGGGCGATGGACCGTTTGCTGGAGCCTGGTCAATTTCCTCAGAGATTTATACTCTTTGTTTTTTTTGGTAAATTCACATAGATAAAACAAAATAAAGATAAAAGAAAACAACTTCATCAAATCACGACGTTTCGGAGGCAACACAAGCTTCCGTCTTCAGGTGGAACAGTCAGCAAGATACCGAAAAAAAACCAAAGAGTATGAATCCTTGCAGTCACGAAAGCTTCAAATCTAGAATTCCTCAGAGATGTTCAGAGATTAGCCTGCCCCTTCAAGGCCTTTGTGCAAGCACCCATCACCCAAAGAGGCATGGAAATCCACTCCAAGCGATGGACCGGCGTCGACGACCCGGTCTAAATATCTCCGGTTTAATTGAGTGGATCTCCCATGGTTGTGGCAGATTGTTTTTGTATGCGGCGTTCCGCCCTAATGTTCGTCGGTTTGTTAGGTTGCGTTTTACGTTCCGCCTTAACGTGCGTCGGTCGTTGGGTTGTGTTTTATATGCGGGGTTCCGCCTTAACGTGCGTCGGTGGTCGGGTTATTTTACTTATATAGGTGCTCCGCCCTATTCTTCGTTATTCGTTGTGAGCCGAGACGGCTGTTTTTTAGAAGGGGGGGGGGGGGGGTGATGTAGGGACAGTGCGGAGAGAGAAAGACAGTGCGTGTGTTGTGACAGTGCGGGGGTAGGGGCAGTACATGGCAAAGTGGTTACGAGAGATAATTACAGGAGGGAACCATCGGGGAAGTTCAGGATTGGCCGAGACAATTCGAGAAAGGGGGCATGGCTGGGGGCGGAGCGACGCCACGCCGGGGAACTATAAGCCATCGGGCGAAGGAGCTCGAGGCTGCCCTGGGAATTCGGAATGGACTGTTTCCACACCATCTTTGGGCCGTCGCTGTCTCCATGTCGTTGCTGTCTCGATGTCGTCGCTACTTGGGTGCTGTCCTCGCCCAAGTAACTTGTTATCCTAGACCAAGTATCATTTGTTATCCTAGCTCAAGTATCTGTTGTTATCCTAGTCCAAGTATCTGTTGTTATTCTAGCCCGAGTACTGTATGCTAGTCATAGCCAAGTACTGTAGGATTCGATAGTATGTTATCTGCATGATACGCCTTAATAAATGAAGAACGAAGACAATAAGTTCTCCGAGAGTCATTACAAATGGAGCAGGCCAACCAAGTAGAGGGACTCAGATTATTTATAGTCGGACCTCTCACGTGATTGGCCCAGGGGCTAACTAATGGGCTGAGAGTGGGCACTACAAAAGGTTCACCCAAATTGGCAGTGGGGTGTTGATCTCAAAGCAGAAGCAGCAGCATGGTGGCAGAATTTCTTCAGTACCACCCCCAGTAGTGGCTGGGCGAGCTCCCCACCGTCGCAAGCAGCGACACGAGTGAGTACCAGGGGATCTTCACTGTAAGTAGCAGATGAGGGCTGTCTCCCACTCCACGGAATGTATATTTTAAATGGAAACGTTAGGTGACATTCGTATTATTATTATTGTTCATAATAGAGGTTTTTGGGTTCGATGGCATAAGTATAAATATGTGAACCCTCTACCACCTGACAGCAAATTAGCAAGGGATTCGTCACATAAACAAAATGCCAAATAGTTACTACTACAGCCCACCGGTGTGTTGGAGAGTAAATCCACAAGATTTACAATTTAAGCGACGTTTCACTAATAATTACATCCAGCTTCCGATCTTAAATAGAACACGACGATATCATCACCGAACCCAATCGGGTGCAGAGATCAGAGGCAGAGGAGTGGGGGGGGGGGGTGGAGCTATTATTATGATGGATTAGTAATCAGTTATATAGTGTGTTTCCTATAAGTAATTGTCATTGTAATATATGTAATGACAGGGTGACGCCTGCCGGCCTGAAGGGGTAATTTCGATTATAGCTGCATTACATAATGCCTTGTTATTAAGGGGCCTATCTGGGGTAAAGGTGAAGGGCGGAGTCAGTCGAGATGTTCCGGGAACCATCCCAAAGGGTCTAGAAGGTTCTAGAAAGGGGGCGTGGCCAGAGGTAGAGCTTGGCCATGCCAGGCAGATATAAGGAGCACTGAACCAGAGCTTCGGGGCTGTTAGTGTGGGGTCTGGGTCTTGGTTGCGTTGCTGCAGTCGTCATCTCTTCGTTTTCGACCACGTGGCTGTTCTTCTGCAAGACCAGCTCCGTCACCGCCGCTACGCTCGTCAACCAGCCAGCGTAGCGTAGGAATGGAGATGGGCTGCGTGTGCGGTGCTACAGGAACGGAGCAACTCTGCCAGCGCTGCTATCCCCTCACAACCCCCATACGAACGCACACCCCCTCTAAACACACACATGCACTGACGTAAGGTTTCGGGAGGGGGGAAACTGGCACCCTTGGTTTTTACCCGAGGGTCCCCTCGTGGGGATGTCCCATGGTTTCCCAGTGCCAGGAGATTGGTCGACGCCCCCCCAGGCCGAATTGCACTGCGGCCCTGTGAATTAGCTTAAAATTGTATGGGCACGATGAGCAAACCGCAGTGAGAACACCCCCCAGCCCAGGGGAATAGGGCATTGGGGGAGCGGGGCTCCCAGCGAGCAGCGCGCGAGAGCAGGTGGGAGGGAAGTTCCCAAACTGACAAAAAAAGAGGGCTGGGCAGCAGCGAGCGCGAGCTCGAGGAGTAGGACAGGCATGTATATAATGGGTTAGAGAGCAAAAGGGAGAGCCAAACGCCAGGTAGGGGCGGGGCATCGGTTGAAAATCGAAAGGTAGGCACCTCGATTGGCTGGGCAGGGAATGGAACGTGACCCTGGATTTTTTTAATTCGGAGGGGATAAAGGGAGGGAAGAAAAAAAAACGTTCGTCAGTTCTCCAGTCAGCCAGCTACCCAGTCAGACTCCCAGCCGCTCGAGCGTCCGAGAGACGCTGGCGAGTGCAGCTACAATTCGACCCAGGCAGAGACCTCCCGGACCCTCATCCCTCCGACTCTCATCGCGTCCGTGAGATACCGTGGGTACGTCCGAGGGGCGAGAAATAGCGTAGGGTTTGAATAGGTTGGGGCGCTGGTGTGGGGAGGCCGATCACTCGATCAGCGGCAGCCCGAGGAGAAGGGGTAGAGGAGGAAGGGGGAGAGGAGGAGGGGGGCATCAGCCCCCACATGATGTAGGAGGGGGACGTCAGCCCCCACACATATTTGGACAGCCTTGGTGTAGCCGCGTTACGAAGTGTATCTCCCTGTGTGCTCTTAATAAATAATCTACTAGACGTGTGTCGGAAGTCGCTCACTACATATGTATTACTTAATACTATGCTTCCAGTCTGCACTAAGAGAGAATACAGCACAACAAGAGTGAATTATCTCATTTCTGAATCTCTAAAGCAGGTTAGGATTAGGGTTGGGGTTAGTGTGAGGGGTTAGGATTAGGGGTAGGGGTTATGGTCACGGGTTAGGGGTTTTAGTTAGGGTTAGGAGTAGGTGTTAGGGGATATGGGATAGGGGTTAGTGATTTGGGTTTAGGGTTAGGTTAGGGTTAGGGTTCCATTAGGGTTATGTTAGGGTTGGGTAAGGGGTTAGGGTTGTGATTAGGGTTCGGGTTTAGGGTTAGGGGTTACGGTCACGGGTTAGGATTAGGGGTTAGGTTAGGGTTAGGGGTTAGGGTTTGAGTTATGGTTAGGGGATAGGGTTAGGGGTAGGGGTTAGGGGATAGGGTTATGGGTAAGGGTTAGGGTTAGAGGTTAGGGTTCAGGGTTTAGGGTTAGGATTTAGGTTTAGGGGTCAGGGTTAGGATTAGGATTAGGTTTAAGGGTTTAGGGTTACGGGTTAGGGTTCGTGTGAGCGGTTAGGGTTAGGGGTTTTGGTCACGGCTTAGGGGTTTTAGTTAGGGTTAGGGGTTAGTGTTAGGGTTAGGGGTTAGGGGTAGTGGTTAGGGATTAGTGTTTTAGGATCAGGGGTTAGGGGATAGGGTAGTGGTTAGGATTAGAGGATAGGGGATATGGGTTAGGGGTTAGGGTTAAGGGGTTAGGGGTTAGGGTTATGGGATAGGGTTAGTTGTTAGGCATTAGGGTAAGGAGTTAGAGTTAGGGGTTAGGGTTAGGGGATAGGGTAGGTTTAGGGGTTTAGGGGATAGGGTGAGGGGTAAGGGTTGGGTTTAGGGTTAGGGATCAGGGGTTATGGTTAGGGGTAGGGATAGGGGTTTGTGTTAGGAATAGGGGTTAGGGGTTATGGTCACAGCTTAGAGGTTTTAGTTAGGGTTAGGGGTTAGGGTTAGTCGTTAGGCGTTAGGGTTAGGATTAGGGGATAGGGTTAGGGGTATGTTTAGGGGTTAGTTGATAGGGTTAGGGGTAAGGGTTATGGTTTAGAGGTTCGGGATCAGAGGTTATGGTTAGGGGTCGTTGTAGGGGTTGGGGTTAAGGTTTGGGGGTTAGGGTGTTAGGGGTTAGAGGTAAGGGGTTAGGGGTTAGGGTTTGGGGGTTGGGGGTTGGGGGTTGGGGTTAGGGGTTAGGGGTTAAGGGTTAGGGGTTAGGCTTATTAGAGTTAGGGTTTAGTGTTAGATTTAGGGGTTAGGGTTTAGGGTTAGAGTTAGGGGTTAGGGGTTAGGTTTAGGGTAATTAGGGTTAGCTTAGGGTTTAGGGGTTAGGGTTAGGGCAATTAGGGTTATGGTTAGGGGTTGGGGTTAGGGTTTAGGTTTAGGGTTAGGGGTTAAGGGTTAGGGTCAGGGTCAGGGGTTATGGGTTAGGGGTTATGGTTAGGGGTTAGGGTTAGGATTATTATGGTTAGTAGGGTTTAGGTTTAGGGTTTGGGCTTCGCGGTTAGGGTTACGGTTGAGGGTTAGGGGTTATGGTTAGTGGTTAGGGTTAGGGTAAGGTTAGGGTTGGGTTAGGGTTAGGTTTAGGGGTTAGGGGTTAGGGTTAGGGTGAGGGTTTGGGGGTTAGGGTTATGGTGTTGGGTTAGGGTTAGGTTAGGGTTAGGTTAGGGGTTAGGGTTAGGGTTGGGTTAGGGTTCATGGTTAGGGGTTAGGATTAGGGGTTAGGGTTAAGGGTTAGGGTTTGGGTTAGGGGTTAGGGTTTAGGGTTAGGGTTTGGGTTGAGGGTTAGGGTTAAGGGTTAGGGTTAGGGTTTAGGGTTAGGGATAGGGTTAGG